TATATGTGTGTGTGTGTGTGTGTGCTAAAACGTTTTGTTGTTTTAGGTTTACACATATGTATGTATTGTTGGTTGAAGTGTACCTAGGTATATGTTTGTAAGTTACTGCCTCCACACGTATGTTCTGCGTGAATGTTTAGTTGCATATATCTATGTGTGGTTGCACATATGTATGTATTGTTGGTTGAAGTATACTTATGCACGCGTTAACAGATTACTGACACGTACGTATGCATCAGTAGTTTACGTACACATGTGTGTGTGTTGGTTGTGAGTGTGCATTGTGCATGTACTCGATAGTTGTAGTGATTAACAACCCTTCCTTGGTTTAAATCGATAGTTATAGTGATTAACAACCTTTCCTTGGTTTGAATCGATAGTTATAGTGATTTGCAACCCTTCCTTGGTTTAAATCGATAGTTATAGTGATTAACAACCTTTCCTTGGTTTGAATCGATAGTTAAAGTGATTTACAACCTTTCCTTGGTTTAAATCGATAGTTATAGTGATTAACAACCTTTCCTTGGTTTAAATCGATAGTTATAGTGATTAACAATCTTTCCTTGGTTTAAATCGATAGTTATAGTGATCAACAACCTTTCCTTAAATCGATAGTTATAACGATTGACAACCTTTCCTTGGTTTGAATCGATAGTTATAGTGATTGACAACCTTTCCTTGGTTTAAATCGATAGTTATAGTGGTTAACAGCCTTTCCTTTGTTTAAATCGATAGTTATAGTGATTAACAACCTTTTCTTGGTTTAATCGATAGTTACAGTGATTAACAACCTTTCTTGGTTTAAATCGATAATTATAGTGATTAACAACCTTCTCTTGGTTTAAAGGCTTGGGTGTCTGACTCAGTTGGGGTGATTGTTGGTAGCCCATTTGCCAGCCATACATCGTATGTATGCGTGTACGTGACTGTAGTATGTGAATGTATGTGATGCAATATTAGGATTCAAGTGACTATAGCATGTGAATGTATGTAAATGTAATAAAGTAGTAGTATCACATATAGTGGGCTTTACTAAATCGTAAAATCCTAGAACCTTATTACCTTATAACCTTGTACCATCAAAACCCCATAAACTTAAAACCCTAAAATCCTACAACCTCAAACCCATAAAACACATAACCTTAAAACTCTAAACCGCGTACCTTGAGGTGATATTGAGGTCGGGGCTGTTGCTAGGCATCTGCTGCACAAGACACTCGATACACCCAAAACCCTAAAACCCTATCACCTTAAACCCTGGACTATCTACCTTCAGGTGATATTGAGGACGGGGCTGTTGCTAGGCATCTGCTGCACAAGACACTTGAGGGACTGATGCACCGCCGAGGGTTTCAAGAGAATCTCAGTGGCACAAGTATGCGCAAACGAGAGTACACCATTGTGTTCCAGCCATCCAAGATACAGGAGAAGCTCATAGCAAGGTGTGTGTGTGTGCATATATGTGTGTGTATGTGCATATGTGTGTGTTTCATATATATATATATATATATATATATTTATGTGTGTGTGTAAGCCTGTGTTATATTTATATATGTGTGTGCATATGTGTGTTCATATAAATATATGTATATATATTTACATATGCATATACCAATTCGATCTCAAGCCACACCTCTCTTCCGCACACACACTGATACAATCCATACGCACACAGTACCACGAGCGATGACTGGGGCAATTCACTAGGGCCTATTCTGAGTGTGCAAATGCTTGGGCCTGTGCTGTGCCATCCAGTGACCATCCAAAGGCTGAAAGTGGGGGAGATAGATTCCATTGAGACAGACGAGGACGAGATCGAGACTCTGTAAGCAAGTGTTTATTTGTGTGTGTTGAGCTTGTTTCAATGGATGCAGGAAGTATCTGTACTTGTTGCTCTGATGGTGTATATATCTTTTGAGTGCATGCTGTGAGCAATCGTGGTGGTTCCTCTGGCTTTGTATTGTTCACTTGATAGTGGCTTCTATTTGTGAACTAATGTGATATATATATATATATATATACTACATATATATATATATGTATGTATATACATATATGTATATATATATATATCATATATATATATATATATATGTGTGTGTGTGTGTGTGTGTGTGTGTGTGTGTA